CGTCGGCCATCGCCTTGCCCTTGTGGGCCAAAGCTTATGCCATGAACTGAGAGCAAGGCTCGCCACCATGTGTCGCCGACTGCAAAAAAGACAATATGATTAGAAATTATGCAGAGTTGAGCGTTAGAATAAAGAAATGAATTCACGTACCCATCTAGCCGCGTATTCTGAGAGGTTGAGGTTGCCTTGATGGTGTGGTGCACCCGGCATGAGCAAACGCCGCTCCCGACAAGCGTTGTGATTCTCCTCCCATGCAGGGTCACACCACCTGTCCACCATCTGGGCCCAGCACTGCAGATCGTAGGCGCACCACCACGGAGGCACCTACGTCATCAAGTATATGACATATAAGAAGATGAAATTAAGCGTAATTAATCTCAGAAAAAATAAGTATTAAAGTTCTATATTTACCTTCAGGTATTGTTCCGAGGTCAAACTCATGGTTCTTGTCGCACTTTTAGGGAGCCTCACTCTAAGAATTTCCGCGTGGTATTGAATCACAGCCTGGATGTGCGCCTCGTAGTGCTTGTCCTTGACGAGTTTCTTGGCGGCTTTGTCAGCCACAGCATCCGCCTTGGCCTCATATCCCTCCTCACATCTAAAGAAATCCTACATATAGACACGATGTATCCAGCCATTATTTCAAGAATGTCCAATCAATGCGATGTATTGAGCAATGTAGTGCGAGAAAGACTTACCCAAAGCTCGGCCTTGACATGTTGTGCCTTGTCGGCGAATACCCTGCCGTCCTGATCAGGGGTGTCGGGGACGGTGGTATAGTGAGCCCACATGTAGGTCGGCTCGATAGTTACGCATCATATTTCCAGCTTGAGCATGCTATGTATGCCTATAACCATCAAATGCATGTATGTCTATAACCATCAAGGAGAACATTTGATCTGTAATCTCATGTGTACTTTGCATACAACGAATAAAATGAGAACTCCCCTAAAAAACAAGTAAAACAAAAACAACTGACCTCTACAGCCATACAAGCATGCAGATACAAAAATTTCAGGTTAATCTGAACTGGAAGATTCAGTTTGCATTCTAGATAGATCTAACTTCCACTCAACAAAGGATGGTAAAGAAATCATGGCATCCCACGATAAAATCTAGGAACATAATACAAATAGCATAAGTACATATAAAGCGGCTTAGGTGTGAAATCACACCAACTTTCTAAGGGCCAAACTCTTGAAGCACATAGGCAAGGAAAAAGAACAAGAAGAAAACAGGGAACCAAAAGGACATGGGATACTTATAGTTGAGTGCATCTACAAATCTGACTTAGGCCATTCCAAATTAATGACAATGAAAATGGCTGCCATACAGTTGTATCAAAATTTCCTTAAGTTCAGGTACATTGAGAAATAAGGGTATCCACTTCAGTAAAATCATGTAGTTTATGAGAAGCAACTTATACCATGGTAGCCTTTACCCCTTTATGTAGTGTTTGAAATCGTTAAAACAAAAAAATCATCATGAGCACCTGGATGAGCAGCCTGGAGTAAGTTATGATTTCCACTCCAGTAGTAACTGGCGTTGATGGCATATTTGCATCATCTCCACTAACTACCTAGACAAAGAAACTAGGAAAATTAAGGAGGAAAGGTCCTTGAATAATCATGAATATTACATTGTGTTTGTCAACAGTAAGCAGCCCAGACTTACCACTATAAGCCGAACACATGGCATTTGAGCTATAAAACTTAACAGCTGCCATCAATAGATAACCATGAGTAAGATAATAGCCATAAGTTCAGTCTACGTCTTTTAAATGTAGAATGACATAATAATACTATAATAATGTGAAGTTGAAAGGTAAATGGCATCAATAAACCAATGTAGCTTTTCAAAATAAGAACAAAAATTTTATTCTTTAAATATCAGGCCCCAGTATCCACAAGATTAACCATATCTTTCATGTATATGGGCCCGCAAAAAGGTTGTCATGGCTGCCACTTGTCCCATACTATACGATGTTTTTTTATGCTAGAGAAACCTGTTATCAGAGTTATACAAGTACAAATAAAGAATGGCCCGAATCCCTGGAGCAGTTCCAGCCTCACTAGTTATGACTAAGATGACTTCTGCCATGCAGCCTCATCATAGGCTTCATTTGCAAATTTTATTTTAGGAACTAGTAATTGTCGAAGGTTGAAAGACAGAAGTGATTAAAGCTCACAATGCTTAGAGTTTGAGGCACACAAAATATTACTTCCACCGCTGCATGGTTCACGATGAATTGAACAGCATCTGGGCCTGAAAGTACAAATGTACAATACACAAAAACTGTCACTAGACAAATCATAAATGAACAAGAGAACTATAATATAGTCATTCTGTGTTGTGAACATACCGAGAGTGTCATAAAGTGGCACAGATACATATGAATATGCAGAACAAGCATGGTCAACTATAACCCACTCGGGCCTGTTTATAAAATACAGACCAATGCATGCACCCTGATTCCAAATAGAAATGTGTTTGACGTAAGCTCAAATATACTCGCAACATATCTGTTTTGTTAAGAACAAAAGGACAAGAGGGGACGAGAAACAAACCCTCATTGATGTCTCCACTCAGATCTGTGACCGCTGGTGTCTGATCTGCGGAGGACGGACCACCGACTTGCCATCCGCTGTCAGCTCTTCCTGTGGTGAGGTGGGGGTGGAGGGTCACGGCGACGGTCGGCCTGGCGGTGCGCGGGCTGGGGTCGCGAGCGGCGATGCGTAGGCAGGGAGCCGTCCCCAGCCTTCATGCACCACCGAAGTGGTGTGCCGCCGGAGGGGCCGCGGCCTACAAGCTCACGCCACCGGAGGGGGGATGGGGGGCTCGTCCCGTACTTGCCTGCACCGCCAGAGCAAGGGAGTAGGAGTTCGTGGGGGACTGCATGAGCGAGAAAGAGAGGGCAGTAGGGTTTCGACTGAGAAGAAGAGAGCGCTGTGTTTTATTCATCATTTCGTGTATCTCGACCGTTGAAAGTCGATCAGACGGCGAAATGCGAGTATGCTCCGAGATGGGCTGAGACGGGCCGAATCACTGATGGGCTAAATGCGAAATTGCTTCGCTCTTTACTGTCTAATAACGATTTATTAATTATTTTTTTATTATCAAGTACAAAGATAAAGCAGCATGTGAATCAAACTAAAAATATCTTTTATAATCTAAAACTGTTGGATGCTGGGCGCAGCCACGGCTGCTGCTAGCCTGCTGCCGTTTGCCGAGAGCAGGGAGCGCGTGGGACCAGGAGGGGGAGCTGGGAGCGTGCAGGATCGGAAGAGGGAGCCGTCGCGGCACCGCACCGACCGGCACCGCCTTGGATTGGAGCGCCGCCGTCGAGCGCCCTTGGCTGCATCGAGGTGGATCGAGGCCGGGGCTGGGCACTCGCCATGACTCCACCACTCCGGCGCCTTCTTCGCCATCTCTGAATCGACAATGAAGGAGCTGCCGCCTTAGGGACGCCCGCCGGCCGGATCCGCTGCTCCGAGGACTAGATTCGCCAAGCCCCAGGAAGAACAGAGCTCCGCCATAGTCGCATGGGGTGGGATGGGGCGGATTGGAATCAGGAGGGAGAGACCGTAGAGAGAGTGGAGCGTGACGAAAGAGGAAAAAGCTAGAGGCTGCTTGTGGGAGATGAAAGAAGAGGTGGCGGCGGCTGCGTTTAGGATTTGGGAAAGGACCTAGGGTTTGTCACGAGCGAGCTAGATAGAGGTGGGGCACACGAGCTCAGCGTGGGCCCATTTTTTTAGCGACAGACAGATTGACGGTACACTTGGCTTTAGCGACGGACGGTTCAACGCTAAATATGAATACCTATAGCGACAGACACTAAATCGCTAAATGAGGATTTAGCGTCAGATGGTCTCTGAGTTATCTTTAGCGTCAGATCATCCATCGCCAAATATAATTTTTAGCGTCAGATATCTGACGGTGAAGCGGTGTTGTGGTGTAGTGATTTCACATGAAACAATATATGTTCTCTATTGCCTATACAAAAAGTTTTGAAGTCAAACCCCAATTCGACCGTCACTTTGACTCCAAACTTACCGAATCTTTCTCAACGCTACGATTCTTCTTCTAAGATACTTCGGTTTGTAAACATCATGCATGACAGATTGTACGAACCCTTCTCAATTTTTTACCACAGCCTCCACGTATGATATCATGAGATCTTGACAAATCTTATGATTTTCAGACTTCGTTTGCTTTTTTTAGAATTTAAAAACCATTCGGCCACACGTTCGTGGTCGTGTTTTATAAACAAGATGTTCGAAATTTCTTTTCATTTCCTGGATAAGGCCTCACACTGGACTCAATAACATGAATATCATTTTTCTACTCATTTTATTCTATTATTTGAATTACTTGCTGTTCAAATTTGACTTATACAAAAAAAAATCTTGAAATGCAATAAAATAATTAAATATTACCAAATCTTAACATGAAGTACCACATGTTATATGTAGAGAGTAGAAAAAGTTTCAAGGTCAGAAGAGAAAAAAACTTAATTCTTTGTCGAGTGCAAAAAAAAATACACTCGGCAAACTTATTTCTTTGCCGAGCGCTGAAAAAAACACTCGGCAAACTTATTTCTTTGCCGAGTGCCACTAACGGACACTCGGCAAACTCCTAATGGCCGACACACTAACGGATGGATGTCTACGTGGCGGTTTTTTGCCGAGTGTCTCTATTTTGCCGAGTGTCTCTATTTTGCCGAGTGTTTTTACTTAGTTTGCCGAGAGTTTTTTTTAACACTCGGTAAAGAGCTTGTTTGCCGAGTGTGTTTTTTTGCTGTACTCGGCAAAGAGCTTGTTTGCCAAGTGCCCGATATAATGCACTCGATAAACATGTTTGCACTCGACAAATCTGTTGTTTCCGGTAGTGCATCTCCTATGATCCTATCTCTCTCCCTCTGAGCAAATTATTTTCTTTCTTTGATTTGATTCTCCATCGTTTAGTCTTCCAGCAGATCGAGCAGATCATATAGCTTCAAGATGATCCGGCGGTTTGTGAATCTGGTGGCGCGAAAGCCGGGCAGCGAAAACGGCGCGTACTCGCTGCATCGGCTGGACGTCGCCAAGCATCTCTTCTACCCGTCCACAGCCAAAGCAGAAGCAGCAAACGCGAAAGGGCAGAGCAGTAGCGGCGGCGGCGATAATAAGCAGCCGGAAATCGGCAGCCTGCTGCGCCGGCTGCCGAGGCCGATCGTGCAATTCCAACAGGTCCCTCAAACTCCCACATGGCGGCCTTTGGATGACATGTTTGTGCTCCTAAGCCCCGGCGGCGGCGAGGCGGGCGACAGGATCCTCCACCTCCACGCCAGCAAGGAGAACCACGGCGACGTCTACGACGCCGACTCGGGTTCCGTCATCAGCACCATGCCCAGCCCCACCCTCGACGGTCCCAACAGAGTCGGAGTACAACCCATCACCTTCTCCATCACCACCGGAAGAACAACCGACCGCGACGGGGAAGAGAAGCAGGACAGCCGCCGCCTCTACGTGATGACCGACAGCGGCGGCCAGAGCTTCCAGTGCCTGGACCTCAGCCAGCACCCTCACAGGTGGCAGCCTCTCCCATCCGCACCCTTCGCAGTGGCCGCCGCCGCGCCCGCCGCGGCTTCTTGCATCACGTCCTTCACGACCGTCGACGGCGGCTCTGGCTCCACCATCTGCGTGTCGACGGTGGCCAAGGGCACGTACTGCTTCGACACGAGGACCAACGAGTGGCAGCACGCCGGCGACTGGGTGCTGCCCTTCGACGGGCGCGCCCAGTACGTCCCCGAGCTCGACGCCTGGCTCGGCTTCAGTAGCCGCGCCGACAACGACACCGGCCACGACCACCAGCTCTGCGCCTCCTCGGACCTCGCCGCCGCCATGGACGCTCGCCGAGCGCCGATCCTGGATCACGTGTGGGAGGACCTCGCCCTGCCTAGGGACCAGGAGAAGATGAAGCTGAGCCCGAGCTTCGGCGAGTTCGAGCGCGCGGTGGAGGAAGGGGGTTGATGGATGAGCGGCCACGATGCTTCGGGCACTAGACGGATAAGCATATGAGAGCGGGAGCTGGGCGGATAAGCAAATGAGGGAGTGGCGATTTTTGTTTTTTGTTTCTGAGATGAGAGAGATGGGGCCCGCTCCTGCGGAGCCACGTCCGGACTGGAGTCACGGACGGACGTCCGTGTTGGATCACTATCGATTTTTTTTAACATGGTTGAAGGTCTATAGGATTGACCAGCAATTATAGGTTCAATTTTCAGTTCGTTTTGCACAAGTGCATCCGAGGGGATTCGACCCCATGACGTACCACCACACATCACAAACGCTTGTGACTACATATACGGCGATATCCATTTGTACTAATACGTACAAATGTTATATAACTAATATTTCAACTCGTAATTGATTTAAATGGAAAAAATTTTAACTATAAAGTTCTAGATCTCGTCGAAAACTACAATTTTGATATAGAGTGTGTCTCCATTCAAGGTCATTTGAAAAATTCAAAAAATTTGAAATTCAAAATCTGAGAACTTAATATAAATATCTGGCCCCTGAATGATTTCGAATAAAAATTTTACCAACTATAAAGTTTTAGATCTCGTCGAGCTCTACAATTTTAAATAAATTTTATCTTCAACCGACTTCTTTTGAAAAATTATGAGTTTATTTGTACTCCAACTGCAGCCATTTCAGAGGGGAAGTCAACCGCAAACCCATAGAAATCACCCATTTTTAGCTCGGGAAATCATTATTTTAGGGTGGTTCTCCTATGGCAGCCGTCTCTAAAAATAGATATATTTTAGAAACTGTTTGCTTAACAGAACACTCCCTTAAAAATGTATTTTCAGTTACGGTGCTCATGGTGCTAGTTAAAATTGCTTGCTAGCGTCTGTAAAAGCCATTTCTGCAGTAGTGCACGGCGGAGAAAACGTGTGCAAAGATTTTGAAAGAGGTATATATAGTTAGACCTAATGCAAGAACTTTTTTTATACTTAATGCAAGAATATTGTACATATATATAATAATGTTGCCCATCAAATGGTAGATGAAGATGACTAGGTAGGTGCAGATTTAACTTATTAGCCCATGCTGTATGGATGTTGACACTCAGAAAGAAAGTCTTTGTTCGTAACAGGTGTCATCCTAAGAAGTTGAAAATGGTGACACTTTATCCCTTAGCTTAGCTTGTTTTTTCGTGAGAAACCAATTTAAGAAATAATTTGGTGACGAACCCTTCCTACCTGAGCTGGTCGGTCTCCCATCTTGGTGACGACACTTTTGACAAATGCAAGAGAATATATATTAGTTACGGTAGTTATGCTACCATGACCAACTTCTGACGAACCAACGCAGACACCTCACAAGTCACAACCACATTCCACTCATGCGTCATGCACCCAGTCCTCTTTTTTTTATCACTATGTGTATATATAAACACGAGCGAGCACATCTGCAACGACGCATCGCATCAGCCAGCAAAGTAGAGCTCTGTCGTGCACGGAAGCAGAGAACGAGAGAGATACGGTCGATGGGCATGACGACGACGACGAGGCTAATGCTCACCTTGGCCGCCGCGGTGGCGATGCTGCTGCTGGCCTCGCCGGCGCCGGTGTCCGGGCAGCCCGGCATCGGCGTCGCGGGCGCGGTGTCGTGCACGGCGTCGCTGGTCACCAGCTTCACGCCGTGCCTCAACTTCATCACCAACGGCAGCGCCTCCCCGACCGACGACTGCTGCCGGTCCCTGGGCGCGCTGACCAAGGCGAGCGCCGGCTGCGCCTGCCTCATCCTCACCGGCAGCGTCCCTCTCGGCGTGCCCGTCAACCGGACGCTCGCCGTCACGCTCCCCAGGGCGTGCAACTCCACCTCTCTCCAGCTGCAATGCCGAGGTGATCCATCGAGCTGAGCATTCACTGACTAGCTAGTATAGCATTATAGCTAGCGTCCATTGTAACATTGCTAAAGTATCAATCCTGTGATGATCTTGCTTGCAGACGCGTCGTCAGCTCAGAGCCCAGCTCCAGGCCCCATCGCAGATGCGCCTGCGCCGTCCATGTTCATGGCCCCGTTGCGTAAGAACCTAGCTACCTTGTCAGAACATGGTTAGAGTTTTTTGTGTGTGTGGAAATGTTACTGATGAACGCCATGGATGGTGGTTTCCTTCAAACTGGGCAGCACCAGCGACGGCGGCAGCGCCGGAGCCTGAAGCACCGGCGACAGCTCCACCTGTGGAACCCACGGCCACGGCGACGCCACCGATCAGCCAGGTACAGACGAAGCCGACGGTTGTGCCTAGCGCCGCCTGGAGAGCAAGCTCGGACGTGCCAGCGACGGCTGGTTTTGCACTGCTGCTTGTAGTTGGAGCTGCGCTGATGGCCTGATGTGTGAACGAATGTTTATGTGATCCGTCCTTAGCAGTGGTTAGCTAAATAACGGAGCACTGGAGTGTCTTGGTGAATATTTTATTAGCTGAGTATGTATTATTTGTTTGTTACTAAATTGATGTTCTGAATTGGCAGTACCTGTATTTTACCAGATTTCTTTCACGTTGTTTGAGCCTTTGATCATCAGCACTTGAGCAGAATAAAGTACTGTTATGGTGGAACATATATATTTTGTATTGCCTTCACCAACAAATATTTTTGGAAAAAAAACATACGGTAATGTTGGGGCCACGGATGCTTAAAAAAAACTCTCTACTGCGCCCACCTTCCATACTCCACCTCCACCGCGTCGCCCGCCGTGGCCACCTCCACCGAGCCGGCAAGCCTTCACGACGGATGCTCTAGCAACAGCAAGCAGCCAAGCAGGCAAGGAGAAGAGCTTCGTGTGACGCCACCCTACCGGCGAGTTGCCCGCGCCGCTGCCGCACCGGCGAGCTCCGCGCCGCCGCCGACCTCTACACCGGCATCGAGCTCCGCAACGACTAGCCTCTATTCGTCCGAGCAGCAAGGTGACATTGCGCTGAAAGCGCTTGTTGCAAGCGTATGTTTTAATTGTTTCAGATATTTCAGAGGTATGTTGCAATTGTTTTATATCAATGCTGCAAAAGTAGATCGGGATGTTGCACATGTTGCAATGGCTATACACGTATGTTTTAAGTATATGTTCCAAATATTTCATCTATTTCAGATATATGTTGCAAGTGTTTTATTTGGATGTTGCAAATGTAGATCTGGATGTTGCATATATATGCAAGTGTTTTAAGTGTTTTCATACGTATGTTGTAAATGTTTTATCTGGATGTTTGCATATGTTTGCAATGGTTACACATGTGTTTTCAAGTTTTTTCTGCCATTTTGCAAGTGTTTCAGACTATGTTGCAAATGTTTCGGCTATTTTCGACGTATAATGGAAGTGTTTCATCTAGATGTTGTAAAAATAGATCAGGTATTGTACATGTTGCAACCGCAGCCACCTGCTACAGCTGCTAGGGTGCCGCGCTAAATGGGGGCGTAGACGGTCCCAGCGTGCAGTTGGATGGCGCGGGCGACGTCCGGGAGGCACGACCCCGCGTGGGCGCGAGAAACTGGGTGCTGACAATCCTGAAAAACTTATATATTTTGTATTGCCTTCACCAACAAATAATTTTAGAAAAACAAAAAAGACAGCTACTTAGTTCTCTACTACATGCACTCCCTACGGTTGGTCGGGCCGACTAATGAGAAGATCGGACAACACGGAGATATTATCTACTTGGTGGACAAGGCAAGGCAATATATACAAGAAACAAATCCGATTTGTTGTAATAACCGACTAGAATTTATCAATAAACCGACTAGTAAACCAATCTGTAACCTAATCATGACCATATACAACTCTGTCCCCGGAATATATAAAGAGCCCTGTCCCCAGAATGTATAAGGAGAAATAGAGAGCTCCCAATTGGCATCCGCCTTAGATCACATCCGATAGAGCATAGTTGGGATCGCCTACTCGCATCTGACATCCAGCTCACGCCACACAAACGATAAAAGCATCATCATACACTAGACGTATGGCATCCCATGTCTGAACCAAAATATATCTGTCTCATGTGCTACCCCTCTAATCTACTTCATGTGATAATCGATCACAAGTCGGAGGCTCAAAATACTAACACTAAGGAATGTTTATCAAATCATTATCCAGTAAAACACTCACTAAAATTGTTGAAAGATTATTGTTGTTGATAGGTTGCAAAAGAAAACGTTAAAATGCTTGAAAAACAAGGCAAAACCCTACATTGCTCTGTTAATTTAGGAAAACCAGGTTAAAACAACAATCTACCTAGCTAAACTAGGCTTCACAGCTAACCACACCCCCAACACAAGGGCGAAGATGTGGTCAACAACCCAGCCCCGGCACAAAGGTGAAATGAGGCATAACCACTTATAGCAACAGAAGACAAAGACACAATATTTAGACGATTCTAACGTACCATTAAGGTATCGCCGTGCAATTCACTAGACACAACAGCATCTTTGACCACGCCTTCAAAGAGGGATATGACGTCAGGGATGTCATCGCCGCCGGCCTTAGCATAAGCCAGGCAAGTCTTTGCCCAAAGTCCTATGCCAAGAAGGAATAACCTGGGACAACCCTATTTACCACCATGGTTCAATCCAGCCCAAAAAAATGGGATGGAACCAAACCATCCTTTATTGATGTAGGAAACAACAGTTATGCAGGATAAGGGAAAATCTTATCTCCTCAGTCTTTTACTAAGTAACAGAGCCTAACACAACTTTTGTGTTCAGTATTCACCAGCAGAGAAAGATATAGTACAATTATGAGAAGACTCAGTGAATGTCTTCAAGATCAGATCAAGCAGCAGCCTTTGCCTTCTTAGGAGGTGGATTCCCTCCAGCAAGAACAACATAGGAGTAGAAGCAGATCATTGCAGCACTGGTAAAATAAGATATTGTCAGAAGGGCAGCGCAGGATGATATGAGAAATGGCATATTGACATAACATAATTTAGACAAAGATGACAGTAGTGGATTTCCAAAAAAAAGAAAAAATAAAGGAGTACCTCAGTGCGACATAGAAGCCCCACGGAAGCAGCTTCCTCGTCTGTAATGGAAGAGTAAGATTGATCAGAAAGCTAGTCCAAGTGGGGTCCATGATAAACAAATTACAGTCTGACTTACAGCGGTGTATGCCTGGCAGTGCTTCCATGCTACCGCAGCGGCAATGCCTGCAAATAATGTGCATAGCATATTAATTATCATAGGTTTCCACATGCAGAACCTCAATTCAGCTTATGATAGCTGGTTAGCAAGACCAAATATTTACAGACACCATAATATTGCCTGCTCAGAAAGCATTTAAGGAGATCTATAGAATGTCAACTTGCATCGAAATGCTTAGCCCTGATTCAACAAAATCTGCTAAGATGATGTGTTGCAGAAAATAAACTACCTGCTTGCGCCAGTATGAACGGTAAACTGGACTTTCCACTCCTCCAGACCTTAAGGCTAAGTACAGCCAGGGCCAATATAGCAAGGCCAGGTGCAACACCAAAAGTAAGACTTGCAGGGCTCCTCCAAAACAGAAATCCAACAAGGCCCATGGAGAATAAAAATCCACCTGAACGAGAAAATTTGTATTTTTAGAATTTTTCCTAATATTTTAGAGACAATATTGAATGGATAGCATAGTATTGGAGAAATTCAGAAGCTCTCAAAAAGGTTGAGATATATAAATGTTTTCCGATTAGATCTAATGGTAAAATGTTTAGAAAGCTCCCTAAAGCCCTATTTAAAGATTTATTCAGGGGCGCGGAAAGAGAGAAGAAATAGAAACAAACCATGCTGCTATATCAGTAATACTGAAGCAATAAGCAACTTCTACTTAAAGGTATTCAGTATTCACCCAAAAATTTGCTAGCTACAAAGCTGAAATCATACCAAAAGGTATCCCTAGGCAAAAGTCGTGTATCTTTGCACACTTCTGTTGAGGAGCAGCCTCCTGCACTGTATACTCATTAGCAGGTGGTACAATGGCTGGCTCTTCAGTTTCGCCACCTGTTTGCTCCGAGGTGGCAACAGAGTCAACAGGAGTGGTATAGTCTGCCTTCATGCACATTGTAGTCCATGGCTGCAGGGCAATACAGCAATGACATGAGAGGAACTATTAACCAAAGAGATTAGGAGTAGAAGAGGAAGAACATAAGAGTAGGTAAACATGCCAGATCTTTTTGCTAGGAAAAATATGCTTCTACAAAAAGGAAGAGAACTAAGTTATTTGAATGCAAGCTACACATTCATAATCACAAACATATATTCATGGAGTTCAACAAAGCCTGTTTTCATGACAAACACCCTTTCCGCTTTTATTATATGATGAAAGACACTGGCACCTAAAAAGTTTGATAAAATTCCAAGAATGAAGTGCATGAGATCTAAAATTTGGCTTAGCTTCGAACTCATATAATCGATGTTAGCTTCACTAAGCGCCTAGCTTGAACCCAAAAGATCCAATATTCAAAGCCTAGGCTAAAACAGTGTTTTGCAAAGGGAATATTGGTTGAAGCAGCATCCAATAGCATGATCAAACAACATATTTGCAACATCTGTTTATAGCAAAAGCGAAGGGCGGGCCTGGTGCAAGCGGTAGAGTCTTACTGCCTGTGACCGGAAGGTCCCGGGTTCGAGTCGCGGTCTCCACGCATTGCACAGACGAGGGTAAGGCTTGCCACTAACACCCTTCCCCAGACCCCGCACAGAGCGGGAGCTCTCTGCACTGGGTACGCCCTTTTTTTTATAGCAAAAGCAGGGAAGCTTTAATAGGTATTAAGGCCACTCATGACAACAACAATTAAAAAACTCAGATTCTAAAACTTAACTTCAGTAATGTAATACACACCAGAAATACACTCTTAGGTATTAATCAAAGTTATTCAGCACCATAGGCACATGTTCATTTAAGAAACAGAGCAAACAAATGGTAAGGCCATAATGATAGACAAAACTGTGGTTCCCTGAACTCAGACCACCAAATAAGCATAGTTGTTCTTTTAGACTTTGGAATCAAGTTGAATAATATCATATATATATAAATATAACACAGATAAACAGAGCAAACAAATGACACATGACAGTTCTGAATACTCTTACTGCAGCACAGATAAGCTGAATAAAATAAAGAGCACACTTGTACAAAAATTGGCTGGACTCTATAGGATTTCAGACAAAACACATGCTACTAAAGTATTAATGTAACTTGAACCACAAGCAATCATGTATAGTTGATGTTTAGATAACAGAGTATAGTGGAAACAATACAAAAATCAGATTTAAAAAACAAAGACCACAAAACTGCACATGAATACAGCTAGCTCTGAACAAACAACACAGAAAAGATTCAGTAACTAAACCCACTATTATATCTGAGTAATTCTAGTGAGATCATTTAAAACATGAGACAAGGACACTACTGCATACAGGAACAGTTCTTATAGCAGTCCAGTTGATTGTATTGGCACAGGGAACAGAAGTTCTGACAAATCGACAAGTTGAACCTACAGACTCATTTTGAGTTGAAAGTTTGTCCTTCAATATCCACAGGAAGTTGAAAGGTTTCTCTTTCTTGTGACTGGATCCACACAAAAAATTGGAAATAAAACTGAACCACTTTACAAGTTGACATGGTAAATCAGGATAAATCATAGCTGGGCGACCCCTCCTGCAAAAGACAAGGAATGTGTCCCCTGGGAAATTTCATAGCAACAAACATGGATTAACCATGCTCCACGGCATTGGCTTCATAGCTTCCAAAGCAGCCTTGGCAACAATGGGACTATGGGAGTGACAGTGCAGAACTGTGGCAATGTTGAAGCCATAAAAAATAGCTGCACTTATAAAGAAACTGGGGTAACAGTTTCAAATTTTTATCTGTTTATTTGCCAGGGTTCATTAAGTGAAAATGTTGATAGAAAGTTCGAATTTTTATCTGGTGAATTTCCTACTTCGGATTTTTTAGCTACCTCTACTACTCGACCGGGTCTATTTCAGAAATGTTCATGATTCATTGCTTGTTCTGGGTTCCTAGTATCAGGAGGGATGAATTAAATAAACAAGGGTTTTGCAGCTGAGGGAGTCTAGGAGAATGCTTCAGGAAAATTTTCTATTACTACCTTAAGTCTCTAGAATGATCAAGGGGGCAGGAAGATCTAGTGTCAGTGAATACAAGGGAATGACTTGTTGAAAATTGGCATAGAATGGGATAGGAATAACACTAGTACAGGTTACATGAGTTCTAGAAAAAGAATCATAAATTTCAACTTTCTATCAATATTTTCACTTAACCAACCCCAGCAAATAAACAAATAAAATAAAATTTTGTAAGTGCAGCTATTTTTGATGGGTTTCAAGTTTCAACATTGCAAAAGCTCTGCACTGTCACTCCTGTTGTTGCCAAGGCAGCTTTAGAAGTAGAGATGTCAACAGGGAATTCCCGTTGGGGAACGCTTTCCCATCCCCGTCCCCGCGGGGTAAGAGTAAGACTGGCCCCTGTACTCGTCTCCGCGAACATTCCCCGTCCCCGTCCCCGCGCGCGGGGTCCCCGATCCCGTCTTGCCGCTGCTATCTACCGCGGCTCCGCCTCCATGCGCTCAAGCGGCTCCACCTCTTCCACAGCTACCTACAGTACCTTGCAAGTCGCGCCCCACCGTCGCCGTCGCCAGATTCAAGCTTTCCAGGGCTGGGAGATACAGATACCCCGAGCTGGGCTGGGTTCGTTGACTGGACTGACCTGTGAATCTGAGGATGAGCTCCGCGATGAGGACAGCCATCGCGGTTCAGGGCCGCCGCATCGAAGTTGCCCACCTGGGATCCTGGATCTCGTTGCGGTTCGGTGGAAGGAAATGCGCGGGCTTTGATCTTGGGCTCCTGCCTCCTGGGGCAGCGGCCGCCGCCAAGCCTCAGGTGGCAAATGGGTGCGCAGCATCGGCGGCAGATGGGTGGGTGCGCAGTAGCTGGCAAGTCCGGCGCTCGTCGGCGGCTATGCGGACTTTTTCGCGGGCGGGCGGGCGGCGTGTGAGGACTGAGGAGCGGCGACTGGGAGAGAAGAGAAGGAACGGGTGTCTGTCTTGGGAAGAAAGAAAGAGTACACGGTTGACTCTGCACTTGCACTGTGGGCTCAAACTAATGCTGGGCCTTATATTCTCGGGCCCAAAAGGGCACCCGCAGGGGAGATGGGACTTGCCACAGAGACCGAGTGAGCGCCGAGCGCGTCAAACTCGTGAGCGAGCGTACCAGCGGTGGATCCGCGTGGCCTCTGGACGTCACACATGCCGCACCGAACGTCGTCTGTGCTGCCGGCCGCATCCCACACATATTTCATGTGCAACACTCAATCTACTTTTAAAACATCTAGATATAATAGTTGCAGCACACAAAGAATACAGATCAAACACTTCAAAAAAGCGTGTGAAACACTTGCAAAAACATCTAAAAAAACATTTGAAAACCATTGTAAACATATGCAACATCCAGATGAGACACTTGCGACATACGTATAAAACACCTAAAAACATTTGAAACATATGCTTGCAACATTCATGTATATACAACATACAGATCTACTCTTATAATATCCAGATAAAATACTTGCAACATTCTTTTGGAACAGATGAAACATTTGGACATAGACTTAAAACATACGTATATAGCCATTACAATTTGTACAACATCCCGATCTACTTGTGCAACATCCGTATAAAAATACTTGAAACATACATATGAAACAACTGAAACACTTGAAACATACATATGAAACATAGGCTTGCAACATATATGAAAACGTCCGAAAACACTTGAAAACATAGCATTGCCATCAGCCACGGCCTACTTGGTGGGGGAACTGCGGTGGTGCAGGCCTCCCCTTTCTGCCGATGACGCGAGGTGAATGGGGGCACAGGCGTAGGGACATGCCTCCCTAGGCGCAGGCGCAGGCCTCCCTTGCCTCCCCTTCTCTCTACGGGCGAGGTGGATGGGTCGTAGCGATGGATGGTGGTGCGGCGTGGGCGCGCGGAGCAGTGAGGGAAGGGGTCGAGTACCTCGCGGGAAGGAGCAGTGCGGGAAGGGCAGCCCATGTGGGAGAGACGCCGTAGTAGGCGCTCCATGCTGGGGAGGAAGCGGGAAAGAGAGAGCGCCCTGCTGCGGGACCTTGCTGCGGCGGGGTTGGCCGGAGGTGTGGTGAGGGGCTTGGAGCAGCTGAGGACACTACAGTCCGAGTGGGAATTTTTTTTAAGACTAGTCAGCTACATAGGAGGGAAGGAGCACTGGGAGCGCGTCCGACGAGATGGATATCCATGGCCGAGCATTTTCGAATTCAAAAATCATGTCACTGTAAGGGTGACTTATCGGGCTTTCTTGGATAAAAAACAATTATTACTTTTTTTAATTAAAATAATTACTACTTTTTGAACCTGGTTTGTTATTTTTGTGAAAACGATTTATAGATACGACTATGTATTCGGTCGCTCCTATAAGATCAATTTATAGAGGCGGCTGAAAACAAGAGTCGCCTCTATAAATCCATTCTTAGAGGCAACTATAAATAAGAGCCACCTCTACAGCCTCTATAGTGCTTTCTGACCACATCTATAAACATTTTGTGCAGTAGTGATATTATACCTTAGATGTACGCTAACAGTTACCAAATATATATTTGTGGTGTTTGTAGTGGTCTCAAAAGAATGGGCCTATTGTTGCTTGTTGTTAATTAACACATTCTAGATTTCGAACTTTGAAACCCCCACCCCTAATATAAATTTGTATTGATCTTTTAAATTGGTATATTAAAAGTATCATTTAATTATATTAATAGTTAGTGTAAATATGAAAAGGCAAACAGCACCCGTTTGCTTCAGCAGTTGATATGAGCCCATGCCCCATGCCACACAGGACGCCAGGACCGGTCAAATTCAGTGTCCGTCAATCGTCACACGTGTCTTCCGTGGTAGATGGATCATGGATGTGACGGTGACGAACCCTGCCTACCCGGACCGACCGTCTCACGTGTCACAATCAACTAGAGAATGGTGGAGATTAGCTGAGGTAGTTATGCTACCATAACCGATTCCCTAACTAGCAGCATACGACGCCGATCGATGCAAGCACGCATCACTTTAAATGCAAAGCACTTTTGCAACGACGACGCATCACGCAATTAGCGAGCGACACAGCAACGAACTGCAAGTCTGCATTCTGCAAGCAGAAACACGATCGATCGACTCGTGTTGTGCTGGCCGTCAGGCGCGTGAGAATTGAAGCAGCAGCAGATCGATCGATCATCGATGGGGCTGATGAGCCTGACGACAACGATCAGGCTGCTGTCGGCGGCCGCGCTGGTGACGACAGCGCTGCTGGCGGCGGTGCCGGTGGCGTCGGGGCAGCAGCAGCCGGCGGGGGCGGCGTCGTGCACGCTGTCGCTGCTCACCAGCTTCACCCCGTGCTTCAGCTTCCTGACCAGCAACAGCAGCAACGGGTCTCCGCCGACGCGGGAATGCTGCCGGTCGCTGGCGGCGCTGGTGAACGCCAGCACCGGCTGCGCGTGCCTCGTCCTCACGGGCGCCGTGCCGCTGCCGGCGCTGGGCGTCCCCGTCAACCGCACGCTCGCCGTGTCGCTGCCCAAGGCCTGCGACTCCATGTCCGTCCCGCTGCAGTGCCGAGGTACGTCGTCGTGCGTGCGCGTGACCGTGAGTGAGCTCTAGCGAGTGCAGTTGTTCTGCAGGTGCCCGATGCTAACCCGTTGCTGTGCTGTGCATGCAGACACGTCGTCGGCTCAGAGCCCGGCTCCAGGCCCCGTCGCAGACACACCCTCCACGCCCGCGTCGACGCCGGCGACGCCAGAAGCTCCGGCGCCGCCTACCGTGGACCCCACGGCGACGGCACCGGTGAGCCAGGGGCAGACGAGGCCGATGGTGCTGCCCAGCTCCGCCCGGAGAACAGCAACCAGCGCCCACGTCGCCGCGGCGCCGGCGCTAGTGCTGCTGCTCGCCGTTGCGGCCGCGCTAGTGTGATCGGACCGCACGCGGCGGTGACCTAGCTGCGGATTGAAAGATTCTTTGTTCTGGTGGAGTGGTTTGCATGTGCAGTGGTGCTTGATTGTTTGCCCGAGAGTGTGGTGCACAGATTTGTAGTACTGTAGTACATATATTTGTTTGCGATTAAAGGCTCTAGTATATGTGTAAACTATATATACTGCATTCTTTCAGCTGGCTTCCTGACCATGGGTTGAATAATTAACTTTGACGTTGCAGTCTCATGGAGTCACTACCAGATACAGGATCTTTGCCGAGTGCCAGGGGCACTCGGCGAAGCTCAAAAACACTCGGCAAAGGTTTTGCTGAGTGTTACACTCGGTAAATGACACTCGGTAAACGTTTTATCGGCAAACGCTAGTTTGCCGAGTGTTTTTTGTCACGCACTCGGCAAAGACGTTGCCGAGTGCTAAAAAACACTCGGCAAACAATTTTTTAGAAAAAAAAAAAACAAGCTGTCGTCTTCTCCTCGCCGCGCCGCCACCACGCCGCACCACCACCACGCCCAGGACGCCACCACGCCGAGGCCGGATCTGGCCTCCCCGTGCGCCACCGTCGCTAGATCCATCCGCCTGCGCCGAGGCCAGATCCGGCCTCCCCGTGCGCCACCGTCGTCGGATCCGCCCGCGCCAGGGCTGGATCTCGGTGAGGCGGTGGAGGAGCGCCCGCCGGGAAAGGGAGAGGAGGGGAGTGCCGCCATGCCGAGAGAGGAAGGGGGAGGCGCCACCGCCAGAAAGGGAGGGGAGGCGCGCCCGCGCTGGGAGAGGAGAGGGCAGGGCGCCGCCACGCCGGGAGGGAGGAGGCAGGGCGCCGCCACGCCCAAAGAGGAGGGGGAGGGCCTTGGGCCGGGAGAGGAGGCACCCGCGCCAGATCCGCCTCGCCCACGCCTGGGGCGGATCCAGCCTCCCGTGCGCGCCGTCGCCTGATCCGCCAGCGTGGGGGCGGGATCAGTGGAGGCGGTGGAGGAGCGCCGCCTTCGCACAGGAGAGGGAGGGAGGTGTGTGTGTGAGGAGAGGTAGGGGAGCGCCGCCATGCCAAGAGAGGAAGGGGGGCGCCACCGGCCGAAAGGGGAGAGGGGCGCTGCCGGGAGAGGGAGAGGCGCCGCCAGGCCGGGAGAGGAGAGGGAGAGGAGGAGGGAGGAGGGAGGGAGGGGGCGCGCCGCAGCTGGGAGAGGGAGGGAGGGCGTGCCACGGAGAAGAAGAAGGGGAGGGGAGGGAGGGCACGCCGTTGAATTAAATATAATTTTTAACTTTGCCGAGTGTCCTAGATCTGGGCACTCGGCAAAGTTTTTTTTATTTTTTTTTTCTTCTCCTTCTTTCCCAGAAAAAAGATTTTATTTCTTTGCCGAGTGTCTTAGATCTGGGCACTCGGTAAAGTTTTTTTTCATTTTTTTCTTCTCCTTCTTTCTCAGAAAAAAAAATTTATTTCTTTGCCGAGTGTCCTAGATCTGGGCACTCGGCAAAGTTTTTTTTTTATTTTTTTCTTCTCCTTCTTTACCAGAAAAAAAAAGATTTTATTTCTTTGTCGAGTGCAAAAAAGAAAACACTCGGCAAACCTCATGTTTGCCAAGTGTTTTTTTTACACTTGGCAAACCACCTGTTTGCCGAGTGTTTTTAGCGCTGCACTCGGCAAAAAACTTGTTCGCCGAGTGTCCGACGGAATACACTCGGCAAACATAAAAACACTCGGCAAATTTGACGTTTCTGGTAGCGAGTCTGTTTCATATACAAACGATAATAATTAGA